ACCGAGGTGGCGGTGGTGGGCACCGTCTCTCGTTCTTGGTTCTAATGGGATATTTCAGAACCAAGAAATATCTATGAAGGTGCGCCCTTCCCCACATGCAGGAAGTGTGCTTTCCTTGCCCGAGCCACAGATAAACCATCAGCACCATCGTCTCTACCCACCCACAGCCTCTGCCAGCTCTCTCCACCCAAACCTCTTCCCGGCCCGGGGCCTCACAGCCTCGCTCAGTCACTCTGGGTCCCTCCCTCCGCATGTACCAGCAGGTCCACCCCCTATGTCCCTCCAAGCTGCTGATGGGGAAATCCTCCTGAGGATATGGAGCTGAGAAGAGCAGCATGGCCCCAATTTTATAAGCCATGTGTGTGCAGGCTCGGGGAGAGGAAGCCTGAGAGGAAGTGCACACACACGCGGGCAGTGGGTATTCTGATTACACGCACACGCGTGGCCCCGCCACTGTCGATGGCATTCACGAGGTGCCAGCGGCTTCACTCCGTGTGGGGTCACCCTCAGGGACACGCCGGCTTCTCTTTCCTTTGTGTTGCTTTTTGAAACCCACCACGACACCAGCGTGTCTCTTCCAGTCTTTAAATACCTTCCGACATCCCGAGTCACAGCTCTAACTCACCGAGCTCCTAGCCACGTGCGGGAGCTGCGTGAGTGCTTTCGCTGGCGCCTGAGTAAGTCAGAGGACGGCGCTGGGAGTGGGCGGCGCTGGGCCTCTCCCCTGCCTCATCCCTCTGCTGGCGGAAGAGGCTGAGTTCCAGAGGTCATCTGCTTAGGGTCCCCGGTGACACAGACCTGGGGGCGGCCCAGGGGCTGGGGGAAAGGGCATGCAGGGGTCGTTGTCCCAGGGAACGTGGGCCAGAACACCTCCTCCTCAAAGAGAATCTGCAGGTCAAGCTTTCACGTGACAAATCCTGAAGTTCAAGCTAAAGGAGCATATTCAGTTTTTACAAAAGGTGCACTGAAATGCTGCACATAAAACAAAAACCCAGGCCGAATGCCATTCTGCAAGGCTTGGTGCCTGACCTCTGCCCTGGAAGTGCCACCCCCATCGTGTCCTCTGTCCCAGGAAAGCCCGGGCTCACAGAGTCTGCCACCGCCAGGGCAGAGAGCTTCAGACGAGGCATCAGCAAGGTTTTCCTAGACAGACAGTGGCTCTTTGCGGCCTCGTCGTCTCTGCCGCAACCATTCCGCTTTGCCATTGCAGTGAGAGCGCTGTGGACAGGGGGATGCTTTTCCCATACGATGTCAGTCACAAACGGTGACATTTGAATTTCACATATGTTTTTTACATGTCGTGAAAAAAATATTATTCTTTTGACTTTCCCCTCCACCATCTAAATATGCAAAACCATTCTCAGCTCATGGGCTGTGAGAAAAACAGACCATGTTTCTCTGGAAGCTGCAGGTGTGCAGGCTCTGAGGCCTGGTTCCATTCAAGCCGCCTTGGGAGGCCCAGGTCCCATGCGGACACAGGCACACGCACAGGTCCTTATCACCACGTGGCTCTGGCTGGTCTGTCTTAGCAGAGTTTGCATTGCGTCTTCAGCAGAACCCCTGTTCCCAGGAACTCTCTGCTGGAGGATGTGAGACAGCTGACAACAGGTGGTCACACAACCACTGCCCTCCCTCTGCTCGGGGCCCCACGTATGTCAAGGGAAGAGCTTGGCTGATGGAGAACCGCTGGTCCAGTTCAATAGTAGTGGATGGACTATAAAACTATCACAAAACCCCTAGTAAAGGGCTCTGCTTCCAGCTCTAGGCGTGCGGAAGAGAGAGCGGGCACAGTGCTGGGCAGGAATGGAGCTGGGCAGGCTGCCCTGGAATGGACCGCTGGGAGCTATGTCCTCAGGGAAGGCACTCACTGCACTAAGCCTCCGTCTCCTCTTCTGGAAAATAGGGATCCGACCACCAGGTGCCTTATACAACTAATGGGAGAGCTAAGAAGACAAAACAGCTGAAACCGGTTTGGCTCAGTGGTAGAGCGTCGGTCTGTGAACTGAAAGGTCCCGGGTTCAATTCCGGTCAAGGGCATGTACCTTGGTTGCCCGCACATCCCCAGTAGGGGGTGTGCAAGAGGCAGCAGATTGATGTTCATCTTTCATCGATGTTTCTAACTCTCTATCCCTCTCTCTTCCTCTCTGTAAAAAAATCAATAAAATATATTTAAAAAAAAAAAAAAAAGAAAAAGAAAAAAAAAAAAGAAAAAACAGCCCCAGCCGGCAGTTAGTGTTGGCTGCGGACCGAAGGGTCTCAGGATGGATGCCTTGTCAAAGGCGTGTATCTGGATTGCAGGCTCGATTCCCAGACTGGGTCAGGGCACATGCAGGAGGCAATCAACCAGTGTGTCTCTCTCACATCTCTCTCTCCCCCTCTGTCTCCTCTTCCTCCCTCCCTTCCACTCTCTAAAAATCAGTGGGAAAATATCCTCAAGTGAAGATTTAAAAAAAGAAGATAAAACAGGTAAAGTGCCTAGAATGGTATGTGCCATTTGGTGCGCGCTCAACAGGTGGGTTATTCCGGCTTACACCCACCCAGTTGGAAGGGCAGGGGGCTTAAAACAACCAGGGACGTGTGAATGAACTCCAAATGTCTAAAGAAAAGACAATAAAGGCCTTTTTTCAATATCAGGAAAGAAGTTATGAATTTGTCTTTCTCCCAAGAATTTCCTTGAGTCTTTATTCTCTTCACCAGGACACCCCTTCCTGATTCTGAGCCCAAGAGGATGTCTTCATAGTGCATCTCATTTATTGTGTGATGCCTCTGGCTCAAAGCCTCCTTATAGTATCTACACTAATAAAAGAGAAATATGCAAATTGACTGTACCTCCATGACACCCACAAGCCAATCAGGAGTGGGTATGCAAATTAACCCAACAGAGCTGATGGGTTAATTTGCATATACTGGTGTGGAGTGGCTGGGGGCTGGATGGCTGCTTGTGTGCACTATGGCACCAAGTGGCCTACATCTCAGGGACAGGCATCCTCGAGACCCAGGCCTCTCTGAGCCTGTAGGCCCGCTCATAGGCCCAAAGCACCTGGGGTCCTGGAATGACCCCAGCCACTCCAAGCCTACACACTCAGGTGGGGCAGCTGGGGGCGAGGCGGGAACATCCGCTGCATAGTATGGCAATGCAATGGATGTTCCTGCCCTGTGGCTACTTATGCACTCACCATTGCCAAGTGGCCTGCATCCAGGGGACAGGCATCCTCAAGAGCTAGGCCTCTCTGAGCCTGTATGCTTGCACGTAGGCCCGCAGCAGCTGGGTTCCTGGAACAACTTCCTGGCCACTCCGGGCCTATGCGTGCAGGCACAGAGCAGCCGGCAGTGGGGCATGAGCATCCCTGCGACCCAGGCACTCTGAGCCCGTGTGCAGGCAAGTGGCCTGAGGCAGGGCAGAAATGTTCCCCACAGTGAACGAGCAGACAGCAGGGCCCTGCTTGTCCCTGGCTGTGGCAGCGAGGGGCAAGCAGTCCCCTGCAGGGCCTCCACAGAGAGCAGACAGCAGGGCTCTGCTTGTCCCTGGCCCTGGTGGCAAAGGGCAAGCAGGTCCCCACAGAGAGCAGACAGCAGGGCCTGCGGTGGCATCAAGCAGGCAAGTCCACAGAAAGCAGAGAACCACAGGGAGTCAGCAGCTGCCCCCAGAGATCAGTTAATTGGATAGTTAACAAACACCCACATTGAAGAGGCCTAAACCATCAGTAAAACATCCCCTGAGGGCTCCCAGATTGGAGAGGGTGCAGGTCAGGCTGAGGGACACCCAACCCCCGTGCATGAATTTTGTGCACCGGGCCCCTAGTAGGATGATAATACACGTCATAATAACATCTACATCCTTAGTGTCATGGGAAACCGTGGGCTTAGATTCCTCACCTTCCGCAGTGACGCCTGAGCCCCTCTGTGGTCTTCTGGCCTCGCCATCAAATGTCCCTGTGAATGGCCCATCGCCCGGGGCCGCCCAAACTGAGTGGCGGAGGAAAGCCGGCTTCCGCTCTGTGCCTGGCCCATTGGAAGCATGTCGTTAAGAGTCAACCATTATTCTGACATGCCCAGAGCTTGGCAAACCATGAACTCATCTTCACATGTCACCTCCTGTAATTCTCACAGCAAAAGCCCAGCCCCGTGTGACTCTAAACCTTGCCCGCTGTCCACAACACCTGCCCCGCGCCTCCATGCGACCTCCGACCTCCATGGTAGGGACTGGAATGCTACTGCACAATCCGTGCTGCTTGTGGTGAGAAGTTCTGAAATTGTTTGTCATGTATAAAAACTGGTGGAGCCATTAGCTGCCCCCAGAGATCGGTTAATTGGATAGTTAACAAACACCCACCTCGACTATCAAACACCCACAACGAGTTAAGTCAAGCTGATGTTGAGGAAAGGAAAGGAAGCGAAACACTGACAGTCGCTTTCCCGAGATGGAGCTGTGCAGCCCTCAGAAGGGTGAGCCTCGGAGCTGGGCCAGCTGTCTCTCCAGGGAGGGGGGGAGGGGGCTGTGCCGGCTGTGAGCATTGTTGGGGGAATGGCTACTCCTGAGGGGCCTGGAACCTGCTCCCAGGAGCCAGCACATCTGGACTGGAATTCCAGTGCTGTCTTCACCGGGAGCACAAGCGAAATGCCTATGCCTGGCTCCAGCGCCTGCGAGGCGGGCAGGTAAGTTCTGTGTGCAGTCCCACCCCCTTTTCCCGGTTCCCTCGCTGGTTGGGAAAAAAGGGAGAAAACAGTCCTCAACACGAGTGGGTAGGCTTCAGAGTTCTTTGCTCTTCTAAATGGAGCCCAAGATCATGCGTCATCTAGAAAAGAGAAAATCCCTGTCTCTTTCTCTACTGGCTCCTCCTGTGCTCTAGGAAAGATGCTGCTGGGCCAACCTCCGCACATCCCGCCACAGCCCCAACACCCCGGCGGGCTGAGGGGCCCGGCTGGAACCAGGCTGAGACTCTGCTCCCCCTCCTCCACCCGTCCCTCCCCGTCGCTCAGGACCACGTTTGTTCCCACAGGGGCGTTCCGAGGGGTCTGCAAGAAAATCGACCACTTCCCCGATGATGCTGACTACGACCAGGACACATCTGAGTATCTGCTTCGTAAGTTGCCCGATTCCCGGGTCTCCCCAGGAGGGAAGGGTGCCCTGGAGTCGCCCAGCTGCCTCTGACCGCTGCTCAGAGCTCCATCTAGAAATTGATGCTGCAAAGGAACCTTCAGGGGCCTCTGCTGCTGGACAGGACGCCCAAGCGAGTCTGATAGCCAAGTCTCTCCCTTCACTGAACAAGAAACAGGGACTAAAGCGGGCCAGTCACAGCACGGAGATGCCTGTGGTCTGCTTGGGAGGAAATCTAAGGTTTTCTTTAACTGGCAGCCAAGTTTGCACCTTCCCCGGAGGGCTGTGCGGTGTTAATGGAGAAGGTGCTAATGGGAAAAGTGCTAATGGCCCAGGTGCTAATGGGCGAGGTACAGGGGCAAGACTGGGCGGGGGAGTAAAGGAGCGCAAAGCTCACCCCTCTGACTCAGTCCTCCGAGGGCAGGGCCAGTGCCTCCCTTGGATTGTCCCAAGGTCATTCCCAGAAACAGCACGGACTGTCCCACAGGGAGCACGCCGAGGGGCAGAGTGTGGTGGCTCAGAGCCAGGTCTCCTGCCGGCCACTGTGGACTGGCGCCCGTCTGGCACCCTGCCAGCGGGGGATGGACCTGGGCCAAGCCGCCTATCTCTCCATCTCTTCGCTTTCTTTATCTCGTCACAAATGAGATTATAATGTCACCCTCTGACAGGGTCACACAATTAAATAAGCTCACACCCGCTCCACTGAGCCAGCATGTCAGCAGGAAGCCCCACGCATTAGCTCCTTTCCTTGTGTAAGATGAGCAATAGCAAGGTCCAGCGCAGACTCGGGCCTGACACTGATCCAGGCACCGGGAGAACTTGGGACTTAATGTCATTGAAATGCGACCTCTCCACTGGGTATGTGTCCCCGTTCGCCCGGAAGGGGCCTTCCAGGGGAATGTTAAATGCAAGGTGGTGTTTTTAAAACTGTTGTTAAAGCAAGAGCTTTGAGAAATTGTCCTATTCAGATTATGTGTGTAACTCATCGCTCAAGGGGAGTGTTTTTACAATGAAAATCATTTTTAGCTTCAGTCTGTAGATGGGCTGTTGGGTCTATGTATGAGCCTTTAATCACGTAACAATGTGAGTGGTGCAGGGGTCAATTTAAAATATAGTCACATTTAAGCTAATTTTTACAACATAAACATACCACTTATCTCTTTTCAGTCCTTATCCACATACCAGCCTTTACCCGAAGGCCTATGAGGGTGTATTTCTGCCGGCAGCTCGGAAAGGCTGGGTGGGGTAGGGGATACAGGCAATGCTTACAGAGGTGGCTTGACCCGTGTTTGGGGATGACAGAGTCCTGGGACCCCTCCAAAGAGGAATTCACAGTCCCACCCAGAGGGGTTTTCCCGAGTGCTCAGAGCTTTTCTGTTTTCTTTCCTGTTGATGAGACTGTGGTGTCTGCCTGTTGGAGACCGAATGGAACTGTGACTTCTATCTCACAACCGGCAGACCTGCTGCACAGCTCTTGGGAGCAGTCCAGGGCTTTTCCACAAAACATGTCCCGGCCTCTGGGAAGGCGGGGTCCTCACCACGCCCACCTGTGCTCACCGTGAGCCACGGGAGCGGCCAAGGTTAAGGGTTCAGCACACGGATTTCCCGCTGAGAATTTTGGAGACACTGACCCAGCCGCACCGGGTCAGGGTCATGTTCCCGCAGAGTGCTGGCGACAGCAGGCCCTGGTGTGACCACACGTGGTGGGACAGGGCTCTGCACTGATTTCTGCCTCCTCCTCCTTCCCGGGTGCTGCTGGGTGGGAGAAGCTTTCCCCTGCAGCGGGAGGCTTGTCCACAGGCATCCCTGTGGGCCAGAGACGCCCTCAGAGAACCTGGGCTCGGACCACCCTCTCAGGGCCAACGGTGAGTCACCGGGAATAAGCCCCCTCCCCACCGGAAGACCCAGCTCAGCCCGGGAGTTTGGGGAAGAGAACAGTGAAGCCTTGTGTTCGGAAGCCACCACCAAAGGGGTGGCATGGAGGAAAGACGGGAGGGGTGGCCAGGTCGGCTCAGGGCGGGCAGGACTGAGGTGTCCCCTGGGTCTGGGCTCAAACAAACCCAGAGCGGATGACAGGCAAAAACGGCACGGCTGGCGTGCGCTGTGAGGCAGCCAGGAGTGGGCTGGCCACCGACTGGTCACCACGCCGTGACGGCACCACACGACCACGCCTCCCACACACGCACGCCCAGTGCTGTGCCAGTGCAGGTGTGCTGGGACAGGCCGGCATGTTGGTGGCGGGCATGGGATCCATGGAAGCCCAGGACTGGGTAGGCCAGGCATTGGCAGGGCCCCATGCCACATGAAATCCGGGCTCCTGGTTCGAATGTGAGCAAAACAAAAGTCCCCCTCTGCTGCGACCTGCCATCCTGGCACAGCACCTCATATGCTTTCGCGGCCACTCCCTCCCGCAGGGACACTCAGAGGGCCCTGCTGCTCCTGTGCCCGTGCCCAGCCCCCACCAGGAGCAAAGAGCCGCTGTGCTCGCTGGCTGGGCAGGGAGGGAAGTGGGCAGCTGAGGATCCATCCCCAGGAGAAGGGGAGGTTGTAGGCAGGGAAGGGAGGTGGGGGGAGGTGGGAAGAGGTGCGTGAGGCTTGGAGCCCCGGGTAGCTGCGCTGGCCCATCAGACTTCCTCAAAAACCCACACCCAACGCTAGATGACTCTGAGTTTCAGGGTGCGACGGGCTCTGGGGGGGCGCTGGTCTGGGCCACGAGGACGGGCTGGCTTCCCGCAGGTATCTGTGCGGGCGGGCGGGCCCTGGGCTGCTGGGACAGGCGGCCTCTCCTCTCCGCAGGGGCCGTGCGGGCCTCCAGCGTCTTCCCCATCCTCAGCGTCACGCTGCTCTTCTTCGGCGGGCTCTGCGTGGCGGCCAGCGAGTTCCACCGCAGCAGGCACAACGTCATCCTGAGCGCGGGCATCTTCTTCGTCTCTGCAGGTGAGCCCGGCCGCCCTGACCCGCGGACTCCCCCGAGCAGGACCAGGCCAGGCCCTGCTGCTCAGGGTTCCCCCGGAAAGGCATGTTAGGGAGGAGGCCCACGGGCTTTACCAGGACAGAGGGGCGGCATGCAGGAAAGACGGGAGGGTGGCCAGGTCCGCTCAGGGGGGCAGGACTGAGGTGCCCACGCTCACACGAGGGCGGGGGCCTGAATGGTGTGCAGCCTAAGAGTCAGGGCCTGAGAGTGTTTGAAAATGTCCAACTTCTGCTCAGCAGGGCCTCTTCATACAGGAGCTCTGGCCTTTGGGGTCTGTGTCTGCTGGTTAACAATTGCTCACAGCTTCTCATGGCTCAGATCTTCATACTGCTCAGGGCACCTCGGAACAAGGCAAACCCAGCAGCGCCAGATGCCACCAGGGGGGATGTTGGTCAGTGGCAGCCCTGACCACAGGGGCCCATGGTGGCAAGGAGAATGAGAGACCAGCTGAAGGAAGGGCTTGCTCTCCGCCTTCTCTCTCCTCCCTTCCTCACCATTCTCCTCTTCTTCTCCTTCCTCTGGGTTTCCTTCCTCCCTCTCCCCTCCATCCCCACCTCACCACCCACTATGCCATCCTGATGCAAGGCTTCAGAAAAGCCAAGAGCAGGCAGGGGGCTGGGGCGGGGCTTGCCTCTTGGTGATGACCTCAAGCTTTGCCAATAATGCACATATTTCTTGGGACGGGAACATGTGGGAAGAGCTTAAAGGGTGGCGCTTACCTCCTGGGTTTGCGATCTGGCTCCAGCTGCATGGCCTTGGGAACGCTACCAACGCCCTGTAGCTTGGTTTCCTCGCCTGTAAAGTGGGAAATAATAACACTTCCTACCTCATAGGGTTGTTGAGAGTAGGTGGAACCTAAGCAGCACAATATTACTTTCTAGTATTGGCGAAGCAGCAGAGATACAGTCCCGGGCCCTGTAAGACCTTCCTCTCGGTCCCTCCCCGCTGCGTCCCCTCTGTGAACAGAGGAGGTTGGACCTCATCCTGCCCTGAGGCTCCGGGAACTGACCAGCAACAGACCAGAAGCTGCGATCCTGCCCCAGGGTGTGGTCACTCCAAAGGAGCGGGCCTGGCCACACGCCAGGGACAGAGGGTCACAGCTGGCAGACTCAGGGACATGTGCTGCTTCAAGGCACGTGCTAGGCTCTGGCGGCCCCACCAGGCCTGGGCGCCCGCTGCCCAGACGAGATGCCTTGTGCTGAGGGGAGGGCTTCCTAGCTGGAGGAGACCCTGACTGTGTGCCCCAGGGATTCCTAGGGAGGCATGTCCCCAGCAGCAGGAGGTGCCGGGCTGCCGGCCTGAGCAGTACAGGGAGCTGGGAGCCTGTGGGAGGAGGACAGGACACGTCAATCCCAGGCCACCTCCCCCACGGACCTGCCCCGGGAACTCAGAGAGACTCAGGGTTCCATCTACAAAACAGAGAACTAGCAACCTCCAAGGCTCTTTTTCACTCGGCTATTCTACCCATCTGTGGTCGCAGACAAGCAATCAACAGCCCTTCCCTGAGACCTACTATGTGCAAAGCGCTGAAGAGCACAGGCTCTGAGGCTGGGCTGCCTGGTGCAGATCTTGGTTCTATTACTTCCAGCTCTGTGACCTCGGACACGGCTCTTAACCTTCCTGTGCCTCAGTTTCCTCATCTGAAAAACGGGGCAAATAATGGCTCTACCTCTTAAGGCTGTTGAGGGGATAAATGTGTTGGTGTAAAGTGCCTGGAACTGCCTAGCACACAGTAACTTCTCAATGCATAGTAGCTGCCTTCTATACCCAGGTCCATGTCATTCTTATGCCACCTCAGTGCACTCATTCGACACGCAAATATGCCCTGCACGCGTGCTGTGGGCTCAGCTCCGGGCTGGGAGGGGCCTCAGCAGTGACACTGGTCTCGCCCCTGCCCACAGGGAGCTGACAGCGGGCAGCAGGAGACCTGATGCCCACTTACCACTGGTTCCTCGTGAGCTTCACACCCCACCACATTCCTGGCCGTGTCAGCATGGGAAGTTCCCCTGCTCTCTGCCTCGGTCTTGTCACCCGAGGGAGAGGGGATTTTTCAGTGAGATCGGCGCGTTCAGGGTGGTATGACCGTAGACGAGGAGATTTTTTTATCATGGCCACTGTCATGGCTTCCTGAGGCGGGCACAGGAAGTGCCCAATATCACCTGGCTTCTCGCTGCCTTTCACCGGGTCTGACCTCTGAGCCTCTCTTTGAACTTTGATCTTTCTGGCAAGACTTCCATTGGGAGCCTCCAGTGTGTTCCCACCGCAGAGGGGGTCAGGGTCATGGTGAGAAGCTGAAATGTCTTTGTCTGTCTCCCATGGACATTTCAGACATCTGCTCTCTTTTTGTCTGCTCCCTCCTCGTCATACTCATGTTCGTTTGAATGTGAAAGCCTGGGCCTGCCCTCCTCACCCTCGCACTGGCCTCCGGGAGAGGAGCCCTCCAGCCCGTGGGTGCTGCAGCGTGGCCGGCCTGGCGGCACCACCCCCGCCCTGAGACCAGCTCAGGGGTAGCGCCTGCCCGTGGACCGCCTGTGCGGAGTAACGCCAGGAGGCGGGAGAAGCAGCCCCTGGTGCGCGGGCACCAGCCGGGCAGAATGGCAGCATGGAGCAGGCCCTGCTTTCACCTTTCGGGTGCTGGCCCATGGGGAGACCTTGAGGATCCCTGGAAAGAGTATGGGGTGCTCGGGAAGTGGAGGTCAGAGCCACGAGGCCCTAACAACGATGACTCACCAGCCAGTGCTGGCAGGACACTGAGGGGCGCGGCGGGTGGTCTGAATTTGGAGGCAAGGAGATGCCAGCAATGTGCCAACCTCTCAGAGTCATTGCTGGCATCGAGGCCCCGGTGAGGCCCTTGGAGCAAAGGAGCAGAGAGAGGCATTCTGCCTTTGGAGCAATAATGGGAGGGAGGGGTCAGACACAAGCTCAGCTCAGGCCCAGGCTCCGTGGCTTCTTCTCACCACTCCCCAGAGAGCTGGCTCCCCGGCGCCTCGGCCGCCTCCACGTGCTGGTCTGCTGGCACCTGGGGACGCGAAGTGGCGGACCTTGCCGACTGGGTGACAACGCCATGTCCCCATCCCGATGCTCCGCAGCAGCCAACCTGCACATTACCGCTCCCTGTGGAGGGGCTCCCCGCGGCTCCTTAGGTCCCCAACCACAGCTGCAGCTCCACACATGTCCACTGGCAGCTACCACCTCCGTGTGTCCACCTCTCTCCGCCCCTTTGCTCTCCTCACATTCCCTCTCCTCCCCTTCCCTCTCCACTTCCCCTCCCCTTCCCTCTCCACTCTCCCTTCCCTCCTCCTCTCCTCTCCTCTTTCCTCTTCTTCTCTTCCCTCCTCTCCTCTCTTTCCTTCTCCTCTCCATTCCCTCTCCTCCCCTCTCCTCCTCTCCCTTTCTCTCCTCCCCTCCACTCCCCTCTCCTCTCCCCTTCTTTCCCTCCTCTCCATTCCCTCTCCTCCCCTCTCCTCCTCTCCCTTTCTCTCCTCCCCTCCACTCCCCTCTCCTCTCCCCTTCTTTCCCTCCCCTCCCCTCTCCTTTCTTCCTTTCCTCCTCTCCTCCTTTTCTCCTCTTCTCTCCTCTCCTCTCTTTCTCTCCCCTCCCCTTCCCTCCCCTCCTCTTCTTTCTTCTCCTCAAAGCCTGTTCTCTCTGCTGCCTCTTATTTTAGCTCAAGATGCCAGCAGTGTCCCCATGACTCAAGCTGGAGCCTCATAAGTCATTCTTCCGCTCACTCCATGGGCAGTGGCCTCTCGTCGCCTCCTCAGTGCAGGGCCAGCTTGAATGTCACCTTGTCTTCAGAGGGAAGCGGCTTAGTCATCTCTCTCCTTGGCTCCTGAGCGTTTGTCCATGTCTCTGGGAGAGCCCCCCCTGTCTTCTGCTCTAATTGCATTAACGTCAATCTCTCCGATGAATGGTGGGAGCTCAAGGGCAGGGACCTGCACCTCATTCATTTGCCATCCTCGTGGCTTCCTGCTGGAGACTGCGTGTGCATGGAGTGAGCTGGTTCCCGGGGAGTCGTGTGTCCTGAGCTCTGCTGCGCTGGCTGTGGGACCCGCTGACTCTCGGCTGAAGGCCACGGCGACAGCCGGGGGGGAGCTCCATTGGCCCAGCTGCCCCACACACCCTCCCCCTCGCTCCCGGTGACCCCCCATTTCCCATAAATACCAAGACTGCACGTCACCGCCGGGGCTTATAAAAGACACGTTTCCTTTCCCTTCTCTTAGGGTTAAGCAACATCATTGGCATCATCGTTTACATATCGGCCAACGCCGGGGACCCCGGGCAGCGCGACTCCAAGAAGAGCTACTCGTACGGCTGGTCTTTCTACTTCGGGGCCTTCTCCTTCATCATCGCGGAGATCGTGGGCGTGGTGGCCGTGCACATCTACATAGAGAAGCACCAGCAGCTGCGCGCCCGGTCGCACTCGGAGCTGCTGAAGAAGTCCACCTGCCGCCTGCCGCCCTACAGGTACCGGTTCCGCCGGCGGTCCAGCTCCCGCTCCACCGAGCCCAGGTCCCGGGACCTGTCCCCCATCGGCAAAGGCTTCCACGCCATCCCCTCCACCGACATCTCCATGTTCACCCTCTCCCGGGACCCCTCCAAGATCACCATGGGGACCCTCCTCAACTCCGACCGGGACCACGCCTTCCTGCAGTTCCACAACTCCACGCCCAAAGACTTCAAGGAGGCGCTGCACAACGACCTGGCCAGCAGGCGCACCACGCCGGTCTAGGCCCTCGCCTCCGCAGGCAGCGGGAGGGGGCACGGGTGTCGCTGAGGTTGCATGGCATGGTCCTCGTGATGGTATTATTTTTTATAAAGAATGAAACCAAATGGATCAGCCCTGTCCCACACTCTGCCCCTCCACTCCCTCCCCCCCCAGGTCCTGACCCTCCGCTGCCCCGATCTCCAAGCCCATCCCGGACGCCGTCCTCTGTGTATCTGTGCCGAGTGTTTCCCTCCCGCCTCCTTCCCTGGAAGGACCTCCACGTTCTTCCCTCCTGGGACTAGGATTTCACTGAGTCACAGGTGGTGGTTTGGGGGGATCCCACAGACCCAGGCGTGTGCACAGCTGTCCCCATCATCCCCTCACACACATCCTCAGGACACACCGCCATGGCCCTGGGGAGGCGTTCACCTTTCCGTGTTAGAGAACATGACCAGAAATCAAAGCTGCCGGAGCCCCGGAGCAGCCCCTGTAATAAGCACTCATGTGATTAAAGGTTCTGCTGTGACCGCCTGTGCCAAGATGTCGTTGCTTCTGGTACTTGCTGCACCAGCCGGCTGCCCAGTGAGCTGGGGGCCGTGCCAGCCGGCTGCCTGGTGAGCTGGGGGCTGCACGAGCCGGCTGCTGGGTGAACTGGGGGTCCAGCTTTGCTCAGATGTACGCTGGCCAGCAGGTTGGTCCCTTCGCCTCCTGAGGCCAGCGAGGTGCTCCCACCAATGTCAGAGTCGGTGTGTCCGTCACCCGGATATCGGCGGGCATGTGGCCCGGAGCCTGGCTCTCAGACCTAGGAGCTCTAGGTTCCTGGGCAAGTCCCCGAAACTTCAAGCCTCAGTTTCCTCATCTTAAAAATGGAACGTGGCTCAGCACTGTGGTCCATGGGTTGTGAGGCTTACATGAAACACCACAGGAGTGACTAGCACATGGTAAAGTACACATGTGTGTATAGATGTGATTTTGGGATGGATTTGGGAGAGAACCAGCCTGCCCAGGCCGCCCTAACAGAGCCCCATAGACCGTGAGACTTTAATAGCCATATTTCTCACAGGTCTGCAGCTGCACCGTCAGAGCAGCTAATTGGGTTCTTGACGAGGACCCTCTTCCTGGCATGCAGCTGGCCGCCTTCTCTCTTGGTCCTCAGATGGCAGAGAGGGGTCTAACTCTATCCCTCTCCCTCCCTCCCTCCTTTTTTAAAATATATTTTTATTGATTTCTTGCAGAGAGGAAGGGAGAGGGATAGAGTTAGAAACAGAGATCAGCTGCCTCCTGCCCCCCCCTCCCCCCCCCTGGAGATGTGCCTCCAACAAAGGTACATGCCTTTGACCAGAATCGAACCTGGGGCCCTTCAGCTGACGCTCTATCCATTGAGCCAAACTGGTTAGAGCCCTTCTTCCTTTTACAAAGCCACTAATCCCATCACCAGGGCCACACCCTCATGACCTCATCTGACCCTAATTACCTCCCCAAAGCGCCACCTCCAGATACCCTCACATTGGGGTTAGGCTTCAGCCTATGAACTGAGGGTGGGCAGCATCCAGTCCCGGGCAAGCAGTGTTGCGAGGAGACCGCCAAGGGGGCTGCTCTCTACGGCAGGACGGGAGTGCTCGCACAGGCTCAGAGCTGTTGGGGGAGAAAGGAAAGGACTTTTGAATAATTGTGGTCACCTCCACCGACACTGACTTGCTGGAGTTTGGGGCACACCCCAGCACTCTCCCTTCAAAAGAGCCCAGTCTCTCAGGGCAGAGCTAGGTCTCACAGCTCACACTTCCCTGATGGGCTTGTGCCAGGCTGTGTCCCAGCACTGCACACAAACTCCACCATTTCACCCTCCCCAGTGTCCCCGCTCACCAGAGGGGAAGCTGAGGTGGAGAGGTGGCGCAGCTTGCCCAGACGGCACTGCCAGGTGGGAGAAGAGGCCTGGAACTAGTCACATGTCCATACTCACACAGCGAACTTGGTTGTTGGGCACAGACAGCACAGTCCGTGTTAACACTCCAGGGTCCCTGTGTTCAACCTGCACTCACACCCACCAGATGACCTCACTGAGCCTGAACCGCCGTGTGTGGTCAGAACCATCACCCACCCTGGCAGGTGAGGGAGGAGAGGCTCGGCACAGTACGCGTCTTAGGAGCCAGTGTTTCCATCCGGCCTCTGCTCCAACCTGACTGATCTCCTCCGAACCTCAGTTACTGGTGGAGTCAAACCTCCCATGAAGTTTCATGTCCACACACCACACCGACGACCATCTACCTAATGTTTCTCTGGAAATTGGCTCAGTTTCTACTTCAGTTCTTGAACTGAACTTTAAGAACTACTCTCAAAAGGCAACTGCCAGTAGAAGTAGTACCTGGGAAAAGAAATACAGTGAAACAACATAGTCACACCATCTTCCGGCTGCAGGCTGTGCTGCTCTGTGTGAAGAGATGTAACCCAAGTGTTAGAAAGATGCTGACGGTGTTTGCACACCGGAGGAGACCTTCCCCTGGCAGATCAGCAGGATCCGAGGCGGCCTGGAAAAGGCTCGCTTCCTCTCCCTGTCTGCTGCTCTCTAACCCCGGCCACGCGTCACCTCAGGGGTCCCGTCCCGCCCGCACTTTGGGAAGAGTGGCTGAGGCCCGGTGAGGAGGGAGGGATCTTAGCGATGCAGTGAGTAGCTGATGAACACTGTAAGGTGGGAAAGGCAACCCACAGCCCTGGGAACTAGAAGTTTATCAAAAACAGAGCATCTGGGGAGTTGGTCAGAGATGGAGAGAAAGATTCCATGGTACACAGTTGCCTGCTCTGGAGACTGAGGTATGAAGCCAGCCTGCAAAGAGCAGAGATGGGGTGTGTGGGGGAAGGAGAAGGAGGCCCTGAGCCCTGGAAGGACCCTCAAATGTACAGCTGCTAACCCTGGTCTTTGCAAGGCTTTGGCAGTGGCCTCAGTGTGCCTTTGCTTGAAAAGTCCTCAGCTAGACACAGCTGGCAGCATCAAAACCTACATAATAAAAGCCTACTATGCTAAGTGTCTGGTTGACCATTCAATCAATCAAAGTGTAATATGCTAATGATATGCTAAGGCTGCTCAACCACTCGCTATGACGTGCACTGACCACCAGGGGGCAGTTGCTCAACACAGGAGGAGCGTCCCTTAGCCAGAAGCCGGGCTCATGGCTGGTGAGCACAGCGGCTGTGGCAGGAGCCTCCAAGGCAGCTCTGTCAGTCGAACATCCCCCAAAGGCTCCCGGACTGTGAGGGGACACAGGCCAGGCTGAGGGACACACACTCCTAGTGCACTAATTTTGTGCACCGGGCCTCTAGAGATATTCATATGAACACTCTGGCTCACAGCCAGGTTCTGGGGAATCCTGGTCCTCCAAATGCCTCTGAAGAGTATTCACTTCATCAGGTCCCAAGTATGTGCCAAGCAGTGTGCCATGAACGCCTCTTCTTTTCTCATTTCATTCGAACCTTCGAGGCAGGGGCAGGTTGCTAAACCCACAGCTAGATGCCATGCAGCTCCCTTCCCAGCCCACTGGTTTCTGGCCAGCAGTCTCCTGCCACCAACCTCGAGGCCAGAGCCATGTGACTCCCTTGTATGCTTCTCCATCCTCCCGCCCCAGAACTGACCTTTTGCCAAGTCATGTCTCTATCTTTCGGGAGGGGAGAGGCAGCTTGGCATAGCATGCAAGCCCACAAACTCTGTGTCTGGCCAGAGTTCAGTACCAGCTCTGCATTTATCAGCCACAAGAATCCTCTGTGCCTCAGCTTCCCATCTGTAAAATGGACACAAAAACAGTACTTATCATAACATTTTAATACTGTTCTCAGATTTACATTTTTCCCGCTTGGGCCCCAATCTATACAATCTTACTGTCCAAATCATGTAAACACACACCCATGCTCCCATCAGGCCAGTGCCCACACTGTACCCTGCTGTACCATACTTATTCCCAACTCCCTGGCATTTCTGCCTGAAATGTTTTCCTTGCTCTCTCCAAATGCTGCCCATTCTTCAAGACCAGGATCAAGCCTTTTCTCTTCCATAAAGTCTTCAGTGACTCCTAGGCCACATAATCCCTTGCTTGTTGGCATTCATTCATTCATCATTTATTCACTCACTCACTCACTCATTCATTTCTCCATTCAGCTAGCACTTATTATCCAGTGCCTACTATGTGCCAGAAATAGCCATATCTCAGCAGATATGACTGCTGCCCTCATGGAACTCCCAGTGCAGTGGGAGAAACAAGCCCTAAATAAGTACATGCAAAAATCAACATCATTTGAAACTGTGATCAGTGTCATCAGGGGGAAATATAGTGTACAGAATACAAAGGAATATACACAGGGATCTCTAATCTTAGTGAAGAGTCAAAGAAGAAGACATGACCTTTATAAGCAGAACTAAAGGAAGAATTGGAGTTATCTAAGTAATAATAAGAGAGTGTGGAGAAAGAAAAAAGCATTAGCAAAGGCCCTGAGACCCCACCTAGTGAGTGGACATGACCATGAATTGGGTACGACCTTGCCCCTAGCCACAGCTGATAGGATCACAGCTAGCACCTGATCTAAAGGTAGCCAATTCATTTATAGGGTGAACAGTGGTCCAGGGTTTATGACTGGACATAAAAGGTAAACTGAGTCAATCAGGTGATCTCTGCTGGAAATTTTAATTAATAGATGCAGGCAGAAAGCAGTTGCTACTGGCTAAGGGAAGCAGGACAGAAAAGATATAAGGATGTTATGGTACTAGGGCAGCAACAATGGCCCAAACTCAAGCTGAAGTTCTTCTTTTTTTAAACTGTCTGGTAAAGAGAGGACAGCCTTGCAAAGGTTTCCTATTGTACCTAAACACAATCCAAAATTTTGCCATGGTCACCAAAATCTTGCATTATCAGGACTATGCTAACCTAATCAACTTTATTCCTGCCACTTTTTATCTTACTGCTTACACTCTCATTGTGTGTCCTCCGTTCTCAGTTCTTTGATACAAACACATTTCTGCCTCAGGGCCTTTGCACCTGCTG